ATAGCCTCTACTTTGCCACTCTGCTTTGAAATAAACTACTAAGTATATTCTATATGATGCCAATAGTTCAAGTTATGAATAATGACAGTAACATATTAGCCTGGGAGAAATGAAATCATTGATAGAATTAAACTCAGCTCTCAATAATCCTTAATCTGGGCATCTACTGAAGAAAATGGAGGGATGGGGAGAGAAGGGGAGGACTAAGTCAAAGCCAAGATCACAGCCAATATCATATGGCAAAAGCAGTCCAGTGAGCATCAGTGATACTTCGGCTCAAACCACCAAAAATATTTCACTGGGCACACCTGAGTTAGCATATATTTTCACCACTCAACTAGCTATACAATGATGGAGAAGTCATGAAACTCATCAATGGCCATTTCCCTATTTATAAATGGTGATCACAAGGATAACATGTGAGAACATGCGATAATAGAAACATCTAGTCCAGTGCTTCACAAATGGTAGTCACTCAGTAAGAGTGACCAAAATTATAATTGCCTTAATTATGACAAATATTGGCTCATTTTCAAATGCTTGAAAATTGTTATAAGGAGAATATTTTTCTATCATAATGCATCTCTTTTTCTCATATTGATGCTGGTTGTGCTACTTTCAACTGATATCCAAGATACATGGCTTGCACTTTAATCAATATAAAATATTAGTGCAACTAGAATTTGTTAGAGTCCAAACTTGAGTTTAATTTGATACAATTCTTGCCAAAAGTGTACTTTAGCATTCGATTTTTTAGAAAGGCAGTCTAATGGACAGATTAACTATTAATCTTTCTATATTTTTCAGGCTTTAGTGTGCTGTATTAAGATCACTCACCGGAAAGCATAGTGCCTGAACCATATTTTATAAATTCCCCACAGAAATGCTTTTACCTAAGTGTGACTTAATTATTAATAATTCATAATCTTTTCTTAGCCATCTAGAAGTTAGATGCAAGTCAGTTCCATTTGATAAGTACTTGCATTTTTTTGACATACTATAGAAGTCAGTGCTCACTATCAATTCATTTACATAGTCAACCACCCAGAGTACTTTCATTCAACATCAAAATTACCACTAAGGAGCCTGGCCTGTATGGCTCAGTAGTTGAGTGTTGACCCAAGAACCAGGATGTCAGGTTTCAATTCCAGGTCAGGGCTTTCTCAGGTTGCTTAATTCCCATTAGGGGGCAGGAGGCAGCCGATAGATGGTTCTTATCATTGATGTTTCTTTCTCTCTCTCCCTCTTCCTTCCTCTCTGAAATCAATAAAAACATTTAAAAAATTATAAAAAATATCACTAAGGAAGTCTTCTGGGATAACTGAATTGGGAGGGGGGAGAATTAGCATGGACAGAGTCAGTACTGTACTGCAGGCTTTTTGTATGTGGTCTGTTTAACCCTGAGGACCTTGTGTAATACATGAGGGATTCTGGTTTACATGTGAAGAAAAACATGACACAGGCAATGTTATGATACTTTGAAAAGAGAATGTTTTACTTGAGTCTTTTCTACTTCAACTAATGTGGCCTCTATTCTTTTAAGTAGTCTATAGGTGCTGTGATTTGAGGCTAATCAGTATTCTGATTCTATCTGAAGACCCTTCAGTTTACCTACATGCCTTTTGGGTGTGGTTATGTATTACAGCAGAAAAGAGATATGCCTCCTACATCTTTCTTTAATACAGATCACAGTTATATAGCTTTTTTGGCAGATACAAGGTAGTATTGATTTACATTGCAATTACTATTAAGTAAAATCCCTTGGCAGTTTTCTCTGTTACAAAAAAAGTATCTTCACTGTACTTGTGCAGATGGGATTTTTTGGTCCAACTTTCATAACCATACACATATTCCCATTATATATTATTTTATTAGGTTTGGCCCATCATTCTAAGATATAAAAATCTTATAACAATTAAAATTTATATTTACTTCCTATTTATTAGGTGCCAGTCAATGTACTAGGCATTGTCAATGATATTATTTTATTTTATTCTTATTTAACCCAAAGGAAAACACCAATTTTATGACGGAAGGTTCAAGAATATTGAGTAACTTGACTGAGACCTCTCAAAACACTAGTAACAGAATTTAGCTTTTGAATGCATGTCTATTTAATTTCAAAGTTCATGATTTTATTTGTTTATACTAACCTATAATCATGAGTCATTAAGAAACCTTTTAATTTATACTCAAGAAACTCCATGTAAGGAGTTTAATTTTAAAAGCCCACTTAATATATTAAAGAAATAAGATTTCATATGTAAGAACAAACTTCAGTATCTGTAGCCTATGTTTATAAATTGTGAGTTGTTGCTTTAGATGTGTTTGTATGTGCATATGGTAAATATAAATGATTCTTAACCAACTTTCAATTTGTTAGTTTTGTGCATGATATTGAGCAAGGTACTTGGAAAATAAGTAAATTTTATGATGAACAATTGTTAGTTTTTTTAAACCATTAATCTGGAAAGAGAGATCCAAGTAGATACATTCCATTATTCATACTTCATATTTATCACTTTAAAATTGCTTCACACCCCATCCTTGTAGCATGCCTTGAGGGAAGTAGACGTAAGAAGCTGTTGCTATTGTGAAAATGTTTCTCTCTCTGGTCTATAGTGGCTATACCAAGGGGAAATAAATCCATAGGCTGGGCTAGACCAATTTAGAGTATCTTTTTACAGTTCTTGAGACATAGGCATATGGGGGAAATTAAACTGAAAAGTCAAATAAAATTGAAGCTGGGATGGCATTATTTAATGCGCATTCTGATATGTAAGCAAAGGAAGCCATTCTTTAGATAGAACGAAAAGAAAAGCCAAGAAGATGGTGATCCCATGAGAGGAATAGGAGTCATCCCAGTTCTTGATTTTCCATTTTTATTTCCCAGGACACAAAAATGTACTGTGTGTTCTTTCCTTGGATGTCTATGAGATTACCATTTGTATACTTAAATGTCTGCCTCACACCATTTATTTAAGCTAGCATTTAGAGTCTGATTTTTACAATGACTTATTCCATTAAGATTAACTAACACCTTTTCTTTCTTAATATATAACTAATGAACTTAAACTATTAAGCAACTCAGTTTCATTAAACAGTGTGGAATTCTGGTGCAGAATATATGTGTGTGTACACATGTGTGTGATTTCTGTTTTAGGAAAACCTTATAGAAGGAATTCAACCAAGGCCAGCATTATAAGAGACAAAATATACACATACAGCCAAAACCGGTTTGGCTCAGTGGATAGAGCATTGGCCTGCGGACTGAAGGGTCCCAGGTTCGATTCCGGTCGGGGGCATGTACCTGGGTTGCAGGCACATCCCCAATGGGGAGTGTGCAGGAGGCAGCTGATCGATGTTTCTAACTCTCTATCTCTCTCCCTTCCTCTCTGTAAAAAATCAATAAAATATATTTAAAAAAATATATACACATACAAAATGCCACAATTATCAAATACAAAATTTCTTATCCTTGATTGCAGTAATAAAATTACAAAGAGGGTTAAGGTGAATGAATAGAGAATAATCAGTCAGTTGTCACCGAATAGGATCACTTGAGTAGGTTTTGACAAGAATTACATATGTAATATCCTTTGTAATAAAAAATTTAAAAAAAAAGAATTAGACTGGAGAAAATCAGCAAAAGAACATATTTTTATGTGAAAGGAGGTAACAAGGTTTATGAATGGGGAATTGATGCATAAAATTATATTCCATGAAGACAAATTTGAGTGGCCTATAGGATCATTTGAAGTAAAGACTAGAACTGAAGGAAACCTGTACAGACTACTATAGCAACCAGATATAGATGACTTACCTCACTGTAGATATGTAAACAACAGAACATATTTAAATACATAATGAAAAAGAATTGAAAGAACATTATTTTCTTTAGAGAAATTGATGACAAATACAAATTTCATGAGTAATATTTAAGATAATTAATTTATATTTGTGCTTTTTTATATAATGAGTAGGAAGCTTAAAGATTGATTATAGTCATGGGGAAAAACAATAAATTTTGTTTTTACTTGTTAAGTTGGTCTCATTGATGGGTTTGCCACATAAATAACACAAGAAAGATAGTATTTTGGGAAATGTACTCGGTAAGTATCCATGTATAGTAATTAAAACTGTGTTTGCCTATTCAGTCACCAAAAAGAAGGACATAACAGAAGGGAAAGACATAACTTTAAGGGATATCAGAGTTAAAATTTGGAAGGAAGAACTGATTCAAAGGGAGTATCCAGAGTCATAAGAAAAGTGGATAATGCTGCCATGAACGCAGGATTGCATATATCTTTGTAAATAAATGTTTTCCTTTTTCATGTAGATAGAACCAAAACAAACAAACAAACAAAAACTCATAGATGCACTCAACAGTATGGTGGTTACCAGAGAAAAATAGGAGTGGAGGAGTAGGAAAGGGTATAGGGGGTTGAATGTGTGGTGATGGAAGGAAATTTGACTTTACACAACACAGTGTTCAGATTATGTGTCATAGAATTGTACACTTGAAACCTATATAATTTCATTAACTAATGTCATCCCAATAAATTTAATTTTAAGAAAAAGAAGAGAAGAGTAGGGTTCACAGGCAATGAAGACTGCCTTTAGGAAAGGAAATCCTAGTCAATAGTTAAATGCAGATGAGAGTGAAATAATTGGATTCCCCACCCCGCACCCCCAAATCTTTAGAACTCTTATGACAAAGGAGTAATGGAAAGGAATATTTCAGTAAGAGGGAAAGGATTCTGTGGAGAGGTAAAGAAAACAGAATGAGTTACACATGGAATTGCAAATTAACTCTAATATTAAGTATAACAGGACCTAATTTAACAGCTCAATTTTCTACAAAGCTCAAGACTTTTCTTTAAATAAATGCAGCTATCTGTTACCTTTTATTTATATATGTCCTAAACTTTTTTAATTTAAAATTTTTTTCTACGGTGTATCCAAATTTAATAGAGAGCTAAAAAGTACATTTCTTGCAGGTGCAAAATTGAAAATGGCTTCCCCAGAACCTAAGGGCCTTGTCGCCTTCACGAGGGAGTCTCTTGAACTTATGGAACAGCGTATCGCTAAAAAACACAATGAGGAGCATGAAGAAGATTTAAAGCCAAACCCTGACTTGGAAGTTGGAAAAGAGCTTCCATCTGTTTATGGAAATCTTCCTCCAGGAATGGTGTCAGAGCCCTTGGAAGACGTGGACCCGTACTACCAGAGTAAAAATGTAAGGATCGATTGAATTTATTATGACCACATTTGTTTTTCAGACATGCAAAAATGTAATTGAGATAGAATGTAAAAAGATAATTAAGAATAAATTAATAAGTAATTTTAAATTATACAAAACTACATAAGAAATCTAACACATATTTGAGAATTTTATAAAAAGTCACTGTTTGCCTGGTTGGCTAGTTTGTTTGGGGTTCCTTTACTTTGTAATAGGCTATACTGTTATACTTTATTTTTTCTCCCCATCTGTGAACATGAGATGTCTTTATATTTATTTAGATCTGCTTTATTTCAACAATGTTTTGTAGTTTTCAATGTACAAGTGTTTGCTTTTATTAAATGTATTCCTAAGTATTATATTCCTTATGGTGATATTATACATGGAACTAGAGGCCCGATGCATGATATTCGTCACTGGTTGTGGGGGGGGTGGGGAGGTCCCTCAGTACAGCCTGCACCCTCTTGCAGTCTGGGATCCCTCAGGGGATGTCCGCCAAGGGGTCCTTAACACTGCCCCAGTGGTGCTCCCCCTGTGGAAGCGCACTGACCACCAGGGGACAGCTCCTGCATTGAGCATCTGCCCCCTGGTGGTCAGTCCGCTTCATAGAGACCAGTCGTTCTAGTGTTTGGTCGATTTGCATATTAGGGTTTTATATATAGGATTGTTTCCTTAATTCATTTTTTGCTCATTTATTGCTACAGTATAGAATACAATTGATTTTTAAATATTAATCTTATATCCTGAAACCTCACTAAAATATTTTTTAAAATTGTTGACACTATTACAGATGTCCCTCATTTTCCCCTCTTTGCCCACCTCCCCACCCTGGGCCTTCAACACACTGTTGTCTGTGAACATGGGCTATACCTATATGTTCTTTGGCTAATCTCTTCACCTTTCATATAGACCCTCTCACTCCCTCCCCCCGGTTATGCATTCATATAATGATTTGTTTTATTGGCATATGATGATCAACTACTTAAGATTATCAATTTTAAAGCACTCTAATATAAAAGTTATATCATATCTACACAATTTCACATGTTCAACTTGATAAGAGCTCACTCAATAGTTAGGAAAATAAAGTCAACCTATATTTTATTTATCATTTTTATTTATTCATAAATCATATCCTATCTTATCTCCAGAATAACTTGAAGAACCTACTAAATATTTGAAAAATTGAAAAACAAGCACAAAATGATAAAAATAAGAAATTTTTTTTAGAAAAGGCAGAGATCTGTGTGGCTTGGTAGCTGGAAGAGTCTTCATTAAAGAAATAGAATGTGAGTTATAGTTTAGAAAACATTTCACCTTTTAATAAGGCAAAGGGAAGATCTAGGAGCAAGCAAGAGCAGAGATTAATTCTGGAATAGGGAAGAAACAGTGCTGCAAGTTGTAGGAAATAGATGAAATAAGGGAGATTTCAACATGGATTTAATGTGATGACCAAAAAACTGATGTGATGAATACAATAGTTAAGTAAGGTTAATATGAAAATTTCTAAATTATTATTGCATGGAAGAGGTAGGGTCAGAAAAATGAAATAGGAGAGAAAGAGGAATTCAGCCTGATGGTGTCTCAGAAGAGAGAGAGAGAGGTAACAAATCCGAGAAGAATCAGCAAGATTTGAAGACTGGCTAATAATGCCTAGGTCTTCAGCTGCTGACAAAAATGCAATAACTATAAAAAAGATCAAGTTTGGGGACAAAAGGATTAGCTCCATTGTGGACAAATGTAATTTGATATTCTTGTAGAGCAAGCATGTCAAACTCGCAGTCCATAGGCCCCATATGGCCCACAACGAATATTTTTGCAGTCCAGCCAATACCTGGTATAACGGTATGTAAGAAACGTTTTAATAAAAATTTCATAACTTAATTTTTACAATACCCTGTTATACATAATTATTAATAACAAACTACAATGTTTGCTAATGACTGATCACTATAATCATGTTGCATTCATTTCCCTTACGTGCCTTATGCACAGGTGCACCATTTCTCTCCACTAATACTAGCAGTGAATATTTTAGCCGTCAGCAGGTGCAAGCGCAAGGAGGGACCATGGTGCATGGAGAAAAGCATTTTCAGTAACCACCAGAAGCTCACCCTGATGACAGCGACTGGTGCCCCACCTTGGTCTGGTGCTCCTGCTCACCTGCTCCACCATCCCACTGTGGCCAACACCTGCCATGTTCCACGCACGCCCCCTGCTGGTCAGTGCACATCATAGTGACCAGTTGTTCAGTTGTTCTGCTGTTTGGTCTATTTGCATATTAGCCTTTTATTATATAGGATGCTGAAGTGGTAAGCAAATTAGGATTGTTATTAAAGAAAAAAAGCAAGAATTTTCAAAAACCAAAAAAGTAAAAAACTGCAGTGGAGCCTAGTATAAAAAGTAGTTAATTATGATGGCACATTTATTAAAAATTTGAATTACAGCTCTAACCGGTTTGGCTCAGCGGATAGAGTGTCGGCTTGCGGACTGAAGGGTCCCAGGTTCGATTCTGGTCAAGAGCATGTACCTGGATTGCGGGCACATCCCTAGTGGGGGGCATGCAGGAGGCAGCTGAATCGATATTTCTCTCTCATCAATGTTTCTAACTCTCTATCCCTCTCCCTCTCCCTTCCTCTCTGTAAAAAATCAATAAAATATATTTTAAAAATTTGAATTACATTCAGTTTATTTTGTTAAAGATGGCATATTAGTTAAAGATTCTAAAATTAAATAAATAATTTCAGCATTTAAACATTAACTGGAAAATACTTGGAATTACTCATTGCTTTGTAATAACATGTACTAGTGAGCTGATTGGTTGCACATCTATCTTTTGTGAAGTTTGAGATTATTCTGGAAATATACAGAAAGTACATTTTAAATGATCAGATTATTTGGTGGGGCCCTTTTTAATTTTCTCATTTACATTTAAAATGAAAGGGGGAAATGTTTACAATACAGCCAGATATCCATAGATTGTATGTTGGAAAAGGTTTCCATTTAGAACATCTACACTAATAAAAGAAAAAGATGCAAATTGACTATACCTTTACAACGCCCACCAGCCAATCAGGAGTGAGTATGCAAATTAACTCAACAAAGATGGTGGCGATGCAGGCTTCCATACCGCCCCAGCCGCTCCAGGCCTCTGGGCAGCATGGGAAGGCGGAAAGTGGCTCCAGCAGGAGCAAAGGTGGAAAGGTAGCTCCAACTGGAGCGAAGGCGGTGCCAGCAGCCAGGGGCAAAACGGCCCATTCTTGCACGTATCTTCATGCATCGGGCCTCTAGTATATGTATAAATAATTAGCAAATATATATTTGTATCCACTAATGTAAATATAAATATCTATATATACATAGCTATATTCACTTATATAAATACTTATATATATAAATGATTGGCTATTTAAAGTTATCAATTTTAAAGAACTATAACTATAATATAAAAGCGTAATATGCAAATCTACCAAACGGTCATCTGGATATCCTTCTGGACGAACTTCTGGATGAAGCTCGGGCTGCAGCTGTGGGATGGAGGCAGCTGCCGTGGCTGTGAAGGCCTACTTGTGCATGAATTTCATACACTGGGCCTCTATATAAATATAAATACCTATATATAATTACCATATACACCTCTGTATAATTATATGCTATATAACATAAAATATAATACTGTAGTATACACAGTGGGGAAAAAGTAGATTTACAGTTGTGAGTATGTGAAACAATTTATTTGTATTATTACTTATTAATTATTGTATTACTTTCCATATGAACAACTATAAACCTACTTTTGTCCCACTCTATATAAGAGATCATATTTAATATATATCATTTAGTATATTATAGTATACTAGAGGCTCAATGCATGAAATTCATGCAAGGGGCTTGACACTCGCAGCCACGGCAGCTTACCTTGGCCCTCATAGCTCCGGCTTGGTCCCGAAGGTCATCTGGAAGGACGTCCGGTCTAATTAGCACATTATGCTTTTGTTATTATAGATTGTATTACATTGCATTATATGCTATATATTATATCCTGTTATATAACATATATAATATTCAATATAAAATATTTTTATGCACCTATCACAATAAATGAATTTTCCAATTGGATATGTATTATACTAAGGGTGTGTATACAGAGACATACACACTCACACACTTTTACTGTGTGTAAGTGTATATGTATATACATATATATTGTAGCTACACACATATATACATATATAAATATCTATATATATATGACTAATTTTTAGGATATTTTTCATCTTTCATTAGTTTTGGTTTTATGTTAGAACATATTATATTTACATGATTTAAATGTATGTTATGAAAATGATAATAAGCAAATGGGGTTTTATACCATGATTGGGGTAACATTGAGGTATTTTGGGGTCATTTTTACTATTGTAATTCCACACCTCATTGGCTTTGAAATAAAATTAATGTTGTTTTTTTTTTACATTTATTGAATTCGGGTATGTTTAAATGAATCTCCATGAACCATTAATATATACCTTTCTTCCTATTATTTTAATTTTGCCAGAAACCTTGAGGACTGGTGTGTGGCAAATGGTTTTCTCAATAGAATCCTAGCCTCCCCCCGCCCCAAAAAAAAGTGGTATATAAGCCTAAATATCAAGTAAAAGTGTTAAAAAAACACTTTTCCCTTCCTTTGTTTGTAAAAGAATATCAAAATATAAGAAAAATATAATTGGTAGAACTCATGATGGAAATGACCATTGTCAATATGTTGCATAACTGGTTAGAGTGAATAGTTCATGTTCTAATTTCACCTGATCTTTTTTGCCTTACAGACTTTCATGATACTAAACAAGAACAGAAAAATTTTCAGATTTAATGCCACCTGGTGTACATTGTCTCCTTTCAATTCAATTAGAAGAGCAACTGTTAAGATTTTGGTCCATCCATATCCTTTTCTATTGGCTTTAGAATGTACAAATATCAAATGTAACCATTCTATTCAAATATTGCTGCAGTCATTTCCTCTTTTGAATTGATTTCTCATTTTAGGTCATATTGAAATTTGGATTATAACTGCACTAAGTGTTTCATGTTTGAAAATGCATTTAAATATATTTTCAAGTTAGGAAACATTAACAAATATTAATCTTCATCATTTATCAATATGACTAATATATATTTTTGATAATTTAAGAAACTATTTATCTCATATGTGTACATACATCTAAACAGATTTAGAAACATATAATTCCAATATTATTTATTATATACTATTCCTTGACTGCAATCTACCTTTTTTCGACTATTCATTTTGATTAGCGTCCTGATTGACTGCATATTTATGGCCCTGACTGAGGGGCCAAAATGGGGGCCAAAATTACAGTAAGTTATATAATTTCATTGTATGTAATCTCATATAAGATTATATTTAATACTTACATGTGGCATTATAGTACATTACATACTAAGTATTATAACTTTGCATAATTTAATATTTATGATCTAATATAATAAAAGAAAAACATGCAAATTGACTGCACCTCTGCTATGCTCAAGCCATGCCTACAAGCCAATCAAAGCAACGCCCCTCACCCAAGCTTGCCAGGCACTCCAGTGGGAACCCCCACCCTGAAGGGGGTGTGGCCAGTCTGAAAAGCCCCCTCAGCCCCTCATCTAGGCTGCCCAGGCATCCCAGTGGGACCCCCACCCTGATCCAGGACAGCTTCAGGGAAAACCAGACAGCCTCCACCCATGCACCAGGCCTCTATCCTATATAATAAAAGGGTAATATGCAAATTGACCCTAACAGCAGAGTGACTGGGAATGACTGGTCACTATGACACACACTGATCACCAGGGAGCAGACGCTCAATGCAGGACCTGCCCTCTGGTGGTTAGTGTGCTCCCGCAGCGGGAGCTCTGCTCAGCCCCAAGCCAGGCTGATGGCTGCCAGTACAGCAGTGGTGGTGGGAGCCTCTCCTGCCTCCTCAGCAGCACTAAGGATGTCCGATGCAGCTTAAGCCTGCAGCCCGCTGGCAAGTGGACAACCCCCGAGGGCTCCTGGGCTGCCAGAGGGATGTCTGACTGCCAATTTAGGCCCAATCCTCCAGGGAGCAGGTCTAAGCCAGCATAGCAGGTGGTCATCCCCTGAGGGGTCCCAGACTGCGAGAGGGCACAGGCCGGGCTGAGGGACCCCCCCCCTCCCCAGTGCATAAATTTTTGTGCACCGGGCCTCTAGTGTATATATAATTTTCATTATACATAATATAATATTTATACATATACCATGATTAATGAATTTGCCAAAGAGAAATCTACATATATATCAACTAAACAATTTTAATGTTTTTCTACCCTTTCTTTATTTCCAAACCTGTTATGTTAACATTGTGTAAATGTTTGAGTCTTTAGCTATATGTTTATGTCTATGGTATCATTTTAAAGTTAATCACTAAGGATTAATATAATATTTCAGTGCCTCGGATTTTCTTTACTGTTGCAATCCCATACCCGATTTGCTTCAAACTCAAATAACTATTTCTTTTTATTCTTTAAGAAAGTTCTTTTCCTTTCTTTCTATTCTATCTCTTTTCTCTTTCCTAAGAAATGTGAGTAGATTGACTTGCATTAGCTTATAATGATGGAAAGGCCCATTACATTTTCTAGGGATGAAAGCTTTTTTTAATGCTCCCTCTCAATTTTAATTCTGTTCTTAAGACTAGTTGACTTTGGAAGATAAATATAGTACTGATTCATTATAAAAATCCTTATTTAAACATATTATAAAATTAATTCTTTAAACCCTTTTACAATTCAGTGTGATCCCTAATATGGAATCACGTTGACATTTTATATTTTCACCATTTACCTAAATATATGGATAGACTATAACCTTGAGCTAGGACTTGTTGAAAAACTGGTAATCAAATTGTATGGTTATGCCATGAGACATAAACCACCCTAGAAGCCCTATCTAAAGCCTGCCTATGGTTCAAAGGGCACTTGCTTTTTTTATTGCCTGGTTGGTTGTTTGGTTCATTAGTTGATTATTTGCCAGATAGTTATCATAAACACTAGTGGCCCAGTGCACGAAATTCATGGAAGGGTTTGGGGGTGTCCCTCAGCCCGGCCTGCATCCTCTCCAATCTGGGACCCCTTGGGGGATGTCAGACTGCCTGTTTAGGCCCAATACCTGTGGTTCCTCTCACAATACGGGACTGCTGGCTCTTAACCGCTCACCTGCCTGCCTGCCTGATTGCCCCTAACCACTCTGCCTGCCGGCCTGCTTGCCCCGAATTGCCCCCCCCCACCGGCCTGCTTGCCCCCAAGCTCCCCCCCTGCTGGCCTGCTCACCCCCAATGCCCCCTGCCAGCCCGATCATCCCCAACTGCCCTCCCCTCCTGGCCTGATCACCCCTAACTGCCTCTGCCTCGGCCCCGCCACATGGCTTTGTCCGGAAGGATGTCCGGAAGGTCTCCCAGAAGGTGTCCCGGTCTAATTAGCATATTACCCTTTTATTATTATAGATTGTATTTCAGAACTGACAATGTATTATTTCCACTTTAAATATATATATATTTGTGTGTGTGTGTGTGTGTGTATATACATATATATATACACATACATATCAACTTTTTAATATATAAATTTTTCTGCAGGATCACTTTGCTTGCAATTTACACATTTGAAATACTTGTAAAACTCATTGCAAGAGGCATCTGGACAGGATCTTTTTATTTCTTTGGTGACCCGTGGAACTGGCTTGACTTCAGTGTAACTTTGTTTGAGTAAGTATTATTTAAGTTGTGAACATCTTAATACCTTGCTAAGCAAATGCTTTTCATAAAAACATTGAAGTTGGCAAAATTTTCTGCCTGAAAAATTTTTGCGAATATAGAGTATTTCATAAATTCTAATCATAGTGAGTTCTCTCAGACAGCTCCAACTGAACTAGGTCATAGAATATGGAATAAAAATGAAAGGAATGGGATATCATCTATATTTTCTATATGAAATAAAGAAAATAGAGGTTGAATTTTTGTTTTTTAAGTTAGTTTTAATTAGCAGAAAATCTTCTGGAGACTTAGCAGAGGATACTAGCATATTTAGTTCTGTCTCCCACTTACATCTTTTTTAGCTACATTTCTTAACACCAGTAAATATATTAGATATCTGAATAAGATATTTTAAAAACACACACATATACATTTCCTACATTTCCTAAAGTGTTGTTACTTTAAATTCTAATGATTTACATATGTATTTATTTTTTTAATGCATCTGTTTAATATACTCTGCATTGTAGCTGAGTGAACAATGGTGTTGAACCTTTATTAAAGAAATTAAAAATAATATTCTATTTCTAGATTTTGGGTCAAGAATTTTTCTTCAAAAAATCTTTATAAAGGTTAATGATTATTGCCTGCCATATAGTAAGCAATAAAAAAATAGTAGCTAAAATTATTGCAATTATCACTACTACTTATACTATTCTTATCATTATTTCTGCTGTTGCTGTTAGCAAACACTTAGCTAATAGCTAACATTTAGATATCTTATAGCATGTGCCAGTTGCTTTCCTATGCACTTTACATTTATTAGCTGATCTACTAGGTGTACCAGTTAATAATGCAGATTTTTCTTCAACAGATGGAGTTACTCATACTAGTATGTTGATTTATATGCAATTTGATATATATGCTATTTTGTTGAATTGATAGCAACCTTCAAAACTTCATATGTCAACTTTTCTGAAGGTGTTTACATCATAGATATTTTTAAACTTAAAAATATAGAATTTCATGCCAAAAAAAAGAGCTTTTGTGGAAAGTTTTGATTCATTACTTTATTTTAAAGAAAAAGTTATTGTATATTTTGGGAAGCTTATGGTGAACAAGCTACATCTCAAGATACTTGTGAACGCTGGTTTAAATGCTTTAAAAGTGATGATTTCGATGTGAAAGACAAAGAACATCCAGATGAACTGAAAACATTTGAAGACCAACAATTATAAGCATTATTGGATGAAGATGCGTGTCAAACTCAAAAACAACTTGCAGAAAGATTAAACGTTGCTCCGTCGATCCAGGTCAACCATCAACATCGACTGCAAGGCCAAATCGCTTCGGAAAGAAGACAATGCTCTGCGTTTGGTGGGATCAGGAAGGTGTGGTGTATTAGGAGCTTCTGAAACCTGGTGAACCATTAATACTGATTGCTACTGACAACAAATAATCATTTTGAACCACGCTCTAATCATGAAACGACCAGACTGTGCCAGAAGACACGGCAAAGTAATTTTGTTCCATGATGACATACCACCACACACTTCAAAACCAGTTAAAGACACGTTAAAAGATCCTGCCTGGGAAGTATTAACCCACCCGCTGTATTCAGCAGACCTTGCTCCTTCAGATCACCACTTGTTCTGATCGACGGCACATGCACTTTCTGAGCAGCACTTCAAAACGTATGAAGAAGTGGAAAATTGGGTCTCTGAATGGTTTGCCTCAAAACAAGAAAAGTTCTATTGGGACGGTATCCACAGATTACCTGAAAGACGGGGGAAATGTGTAGCTAGAGATGGACATTACTTTGAACAAAGCACTTTTGATGTTTCTCTTGAAATCATCGTGTTCTTTTTTATTACAACATCCACCATTATTAACCGGTACACCTAGTAGTCCCAATCCCCTGAAAAAGAAAGTATTACCCCCACCTTACTTCTGAGGAAACCGAGGCAAGGAAGGTTAAGTAATTTTTCTCTGTCACACAGCTAGTAAAGAGTGGAGCCTGGATTTCTACACAGGCAGTCTGGCTCCAGAGTCTGTGCTCTGGACCAGTATGTACCCTGCCTTCTGCTATCACCACCATTACCATTGTCATCATCAAAATCACCTTAAACCCTTACACTGAAGCTCATTCCTTTCAAGGACTGTGGTTTTTTATGTTAAATAACCGTTTTGTTAGTTAGATAACAAAATATTTATGAAGATGACATAAATATGGACTTAAAAGTACTCACAGTGTCAAAATGTATAAATTCTCATAATTTGTTTGTGGATTAATATTTACCCGGCTACTTTGCACATTGTAGCAATCTTTGTCTTCCAATCAGTAATAAAACCTTTTGCAATATGGAGTAATGAGAGCAAGGGAAATGTTTGGATACATGGCTTTTAAAATAAGTTTTAAAGAACATAAGGAGCCAAAGATACATAGCATAACCTCTATATAACTCTAACTTAATTCCACAGGCACATAACAATATATTCGCCTCTAAACTTCACACCAATATTTAGAGTTGCAAGAAGTTTGAGAATTTTGAAAATTATTCCCTTAAACCAAGGTAAGAAATTCTTGACATTGAGTTCCTTTTCTTCATTTTGTTTTATGTATTTCCATATATTCATTTGAATTTCTCTGTTATTGTTTGGAGAAATATTAAATTGAATACTGCTTCAGCTTATTCAATTAATGAATTATCAGATCTTTAAATTTGTTTTCGTCACCACAGGAAAGGCAAAAAATTTACACATTTGACTGTTATTTATTTGAAGTGGGTTCATTAATTATAAAATATAGCGATCAATTAAAAAGATAATTTTTCTATTTTTAATATTTATTTATTTATTGTCATATCTTAAATATGATCTTATAAAATTGTCTTTAGACTTCTTTTTTTAAAATATATTTTATTGATTTTTTACAGAGAGGAAGGGAGAGGGATAGAGAGTTAGAAACATCGATGCTGCCTCCTCATCTATCAGCTGTCTCCTGCACACTCCCTACTGGCGATGTGCCTGCAACCAAGGTACATAACATCGATCAGCTGCCTCCTGCACACCCCCCACTGGGGATGTGCCCACAACCAAGGTACATGCCCTTGACCAGAATTGAACCCGGGACCCTTCAGTCCGCAGGCCGACACTCTATCCACTGAGCCAAACGGGTCAGGGTGTCTTTAGACTTCTTAGAGAGACAGCAGCGGCCATAGACAGATAGCCAATCTAACTTCTTCTTTTCCTATTTGCATCTAACAATCAGATGAAATGAATAAAGTAATATAAAATAGAAAAAACTCCCTTTTGTTCTGAGTGCTTGGATAGGGTGCATTCCATATGCCATAAAATTCAAGGAGTTCCTGCTAAGTAAGGCTGTGACCACATTGATGGAAGATGCTGAGGACTAATTTTAGCCCCCATTTCTGAAGATACCTTACAACCTTCTAATTTGTTATTCAGAATGAATAAAAACAATAAAATAGGAAAACTCCAATCAGAGAGTTGTGGGTTTTTTTTGTGTTTTATTTTTTTGTGTTTTTTTTTACTGCTATGATTCAGAGTAGTATGAAATAGTTAGATCAATAAGCCATGAGGCAAGTGTGATAATACCAAAAGTAAGAACTACAGGCAACTTTTGTGCACTGGTACACCATGAAGAGTGCCAAACACATGCATACTATGTATCAATCCAACCAAATTCCAGGTTGGCAAAACAGCAAAAAGATTGGGGGAGTGTGGTGATGGATGCATAACCATGCGGCCATACTAAAACATTAAATTGTACACATTAAATGGGTGAATTCTATGATTTGTGAATTATATCTTAGTAGAGGTGTATAATAAATATGATTTGTGGCATAGCAGTTTTGCCAAACCCAGTGAAGAAAGCAGTGAGACTTGCCCTGGTAGGGATAGTCACAGTTTGAACTTCCTTACTAGCCTCTACAAATCACTAGAACATAAAATTGCATCAACTGCATCTTCATCTTGGCAAGGATTATAGAAGAATTCAGCTGGATCCCAGTTAATGCCAGAGGAATACACACACTAGAGTTCGGAGCACACAGGCTGGTAGGACCTGCTCTTTACAAGGGAGAAAATAATGAAGGCACATAGGCAATATAAAATGTATAAAAATATTTTGCAACATAGAAAGAGAAACATACTATTTGAGATAATGAAAATAATTCTCCTTTTTTTTTATAAAAACAGTGCTCTAAGAAATAGGAGCAAGCATCAAAAAATCATATTTTGTAGTCCCAATAGAAGAAAATCAAGACTCTTTGAAGCAAAAGAGGAACAAGATTATAAAATGACAAATAAAAATACTGTTAAAACTAAAATATGATAAAATTATTATAACTTTGGTTAATATCTGATGGCAGTAAAATATAGTATCGTCTGCATAGTATTATGGTAAAGCAAAACCTATTGTACAGAAAAATTAGAGACATTCTATATTAATACAGTAAACCAAAAATTGGATGGATTAATAAAGGAGAGAAAACTTAAGTTTCATTTTATGGATAATAGGTAACCCTAAAAAAGAGACAGACTAATGTAAAAGACAAATTATTAAAAAATACACTAGAATTTTTTAGTCACTTAAATCAAGACCTTAGTCACAAATGGGAAAAGCTCATTTTATACTAGACAAATAAATAAATAAATAAACAAACAAATAAAATAAATAAAGGATACACTTATAAAAGTATTATAAAACCCCTACAAGCAAAAAAGCAAAGTAAAAGAGCTTATGGAAAGGTAATCCTTAGACCTCGTGAGTGGGCAGTAGAGTTTCAGAACTTGGAGGGCATGTCGGCAGGGAGGTTATGACACCAGAACTTCATACATGTTTGTCATTTATGTGTGACGTCCACAGAAAATAATCTCAGCCATCCCCAGAGTTCTTGAATTTTACATGTGCATCTTTCCTGAATATCTGCTGAAAAACAAAAATATAAAAATAAAATATTCCACAATAAGAAGATTAACTATCAAAAGTAATTGCAATGAAGTATTAAATCATTTCAACAGAGAATGAATTCCAAATTATGTTGTTAGTGGGTTGAAAAACAGAATACAAATATTATAAATTATAAATTCTAGCATGGACATCTGTGGGTCATTCTTGAACTAGAAACATATGTCGTCTGTGCTCTTAAAAACTTTGGAATAGGTACCAACCTTATAAAAATCTGGTGATTTTAACATTAAAATCTAAATTAATTTGGATAAATTGTCAGCATCAATCCAGCCAAATTCCTGGCTGCAACTACCACCTGTAATTGTAGAGCAGCTCACCTTTAGGCCAGGCACATTCATCCAAGTCTCCTCCACTCCCTACCTGCACAAATTTTATTTTCTGACAAGCCTTTGTAAGAATATCAATGTTATCTTTCCTATAAGCCATGAAAGATAATATATAATGCAAAATACATAAAATTCAACTCTTATAATTAGGTCAGAGGTTTGAAATTATATTAACAAAAATGAGAACTAGAAATTGAGAAATGTGAGAAAGCAAATATTATTCTGTTCTTATATGAGAAGACTATAGTAGATACAGGTGTTTTTTTATGTAGAGAGTATTTTTGTTCAAAATGAGAATTTAAGTTTGATAGAGGTGTTCAAAATAGACATACTAAAAGAAAAAAATATTAAAATTTATTTAAGAAAGATAAAACACATAGAAATCATAAGGGAAACATAAAAATAAAAAAACACACACAAAAATGGTAAAGGCCAATGCAAATAAAGGCAATTTATGAAAATAAAAATAATTGGGTTAAATTTTTCTGTCAAGATGTAGAGTCTTTAATATTAAATCAGAAATAAATTGAACTGCACCAGAGATACCTAAACTAAAACAAAAATAAAAGTTTAAAAGTAAAATGAAGGGGAAAGTCATACCAAGAAATCAAAGTCAAAGTTGGCATGTGGTAGGTAGCAATAAACGGTAGATAACAAAGAAAATTATTAATGTTTGATTCTGTAAAATTGAATGGTGACATTTTTACCTTCAAACAAAATGTTACCAATAGATTAAAACTCACAAAAACTTGGTTTATATGTAATATATACATATATATACACATACATATATACACATATACACACATACATGTGTTCTTATTTAAGAGCGACTCCAATAAAACAATATGAAACATTTTTCAGTAAAATAATATACAGAGGACTTGGGACATTGCCAAACAGAAGTGCATTGCAAATGTACATGTTTTAAAAGTTCATGATGGCAATCAAAGAAATTACATTAGAGTAAAGTTATCCCATTTTTCTTCTAATAAAATGGAAATACTTTTTAAATATTTCATTTTTAATGAAGACTTGATTATATACATATGTAGTGTTTGGTTTATGCATTATTTTAACATCTCTTATTTAATCAGCTCCAAAAAATGAATTCTTAATAATTAATGAAAGAATATTATAGAATACTGCTGTTTCAAACTAGTTTTTGTTTCAACATTTTCAACCCATTTTGATTAATAACTCTATTCCTTTACTTATGCTTACAAACAATAGTGATTGGTATGAAAATCAGTAATCAAGAGAGAAAGCCTGTCCTTTATGTAGTAAAGAGAAACAAACAAATGACTAATTTTAAAATATGTTGTGACTACATTATTTTGTTAAGTATAAAAAATTAGCAATTATACAAAAACCTTAAAGTTTGGTGTTTTATTCATTTTATTTATTAGACCTAGATCAGTGATGGCGAACTTTTGAGCTTGGCATGTCAGCACTTTGAAAAACCCTAACTTAACTCTAGTGCCGTGTCACATATAGAAATTTTTTGATATTTGCAACCATAGTAAAACAAAGACTTACATTTTAATATTTATTTTATATATTTAAATGCCATTTAGCAAAGAAAAACCAACCAAAAAATGAGTTTACGTGTCACCCCTGACACACGTGTCATAGGTTCGCCATCACTGACCTAGATGATGGTAAATTAGATTACGAAACACAAAGCTACCAATTTCAATGGATATGTATTTGCCATGAAAGAAGTTTGCTAATGCTTCTTTACGAAAGTACTTTACTTTATTGAAAACAAACTTGTCTCTTTTTAGGTGTGAAATCTTATGTAGGGATCCTGCTCCAATGCTTGAAGAAACTTACCGGTGTCATTATCCTTACTCTATTTTTTCTGATCATATTTTCTCTAATTGGGATGGGGTTCTTCATGGGCAACCTAAAGCATAAATGTTTCCGATGGCCCCAAGAAAATGAAACTGAAACCCTGCACAACAGAACCAGAAACCCATGTTATAGTCGAGGTAAGAATCGCTTGCCATCTATGTCAAACAATTTAAATGTTCATTAGGGGGGTGAGGGATATTTTCAGTTCTATTTTTAAAATTTTCAGTATAATTTATGTACCATAATAGTCACAGTTTTAGTTTATTCACAAGGTTGTATAACCATCACTGCTATCTAATTCCCAGACATTTTCATCACCCTAAACAGAAACTCCTATCCATTAGCAATCATTTCTCATTCCCCTTGCACCAGGCCCTGGCAACCACTAATCTACTCTTTGTGTCTATAAACTTTTCTATTCTGGACATCTACACTAATCAAAGACAAAGATGATAATTGACCATACCTTTGCTATGCCCAACCCATGCCCACCAGCCCATCAGAGTGACTATATGCAAATTAACCCAACCAAGATGGCAGCCAGCAGCCATGGAGCTGGAGCAAGTAGGAGGCTTGGTTGCCCCAGCGATGGAGGAAGCCAAGCTTCCCACCTGCTCTGGCTGGCGGTGGCCTCCACTCAAGGCAACAAAGTTTCAATTATAGAAGATAAATAAGTTCCAGATACCTGCTTCTAGCCAGTCTCCACTGGGAGCCTGCAAACAGCCATAAGCCTCTCACCCAGGATGGCCACACCCTCATG